TTAATGATTCGAACAATTTAACCACAGAACTATTTATTAGTTAGAACACAATCGGAGTAACCGGAGCTTATAAACGGAGCATCCGCTCGCTACGCGCCTGTCCTGGTCTCTGCGACAGCGGGAGACGATGACTCGGCTAAAAGCCGGGCTTTAGACGATATTCGGGGGTAAACTAGAACGATAACGCCGAAAGGTGTCACGATTAGGCTCCTTTACCTCGCGGCGCGCAACTCTCCATATACATCTCAAATACATAACAGCTCTTCCCCCTGTGAAATTGAACTGAGTGTCTTAACAATTTTATCATAATTTCGCAGCTACAATTTTACTTAAAACTAATATATAATTTTCCTTGTATACACTTTAAATTTGTGTTAAATATATACCGTACCTATCAGGCGGTTTTCTATAACGTTGAGGTCGGCCCTCATTGTTTTCGTTTACATTTTGTTCCAAACTTATTTTTGATTTACGCGTGCGTGTGTCGTCGGCTCTTGCAGCTTCCCCTTCCTCGGATTCCGTTGTATTGGGATTTTCGGAGTAGCAACTCGAGCTGGCAGGGTCAGAGTTTTTGTGCACAGTTTTCGCTTGCTCGTTATCGCTTGGAGTTAGAACATCCCGTGCTACCTCGACTGGACCATAATGGTCAGCCTCACCAAGGTTATTCGCCTCATCAATCGGGGCACTAATTTTTTCTCCTATTTTCCTTATTTGATCTGAGTGACGTTTCCAAATTTTTCCGTTGTCTAATTTAACTGAGTAATGTAATTTCCCTAGCTTAGCTAATACTCTCCCAAATCGCCATTTTACGTTTTTGTTTAAATATTCTCGCACGGCGACTCTTTCGCCTTCTTTAAAATTTCTTACAACTATTATATTTTCCATTTCAATTTCTTTATTAGTTTTCGGGAACATTAAGTCCAATCTGCTTCTTAATTTACGGTTATACATGGCTTCCGCCGGAGATTTATCTAATTCTGCATGAGGTGTTACTCTATACTGAAATAGAAATTTCTGTAGATTGGTCTTAATGTTGCCATTACTAATATTTAATTTTCGTAGTGATTTTTTTAACGTTTGTACGAAACGTTCCGCTAAACCATTTGTAGCAGGATGGTAGGGTGCTGTGCGCTTATGGTATATTCCGTTTATTCTAAGAAAATTTTCGAATTCTTCTGCAATAAATGTTCGCCCGTTGTCCGACACTAGGACTCGTGGCAATCCAAATTTTGCGAATATTTCCCTACATTTTTCTATCGTGTTTTGGACGGACATGTTTTTTACAATGTGAACTTCAGGCCATTTTGTGTACGAGTCGACCAATACTAGAAAAGTGTGGCTCATAAACGGCCCCGCGAAATCTATATGTACGCGCTCAAAAGGTTCTGACGCCGCTTCCCAGGCGTGTTTAACTTTGATTCTTGGATTATTTAAAAACGTGGCACATGCTTTACAATTTTTAGTTATTTCTTCTATTTCTTTGTCTATTTTTGGCCACCAACAAAAATTTCGACTAAGTTTTTTCATTTTTACCGTTCCAAAATGCCCTGCGTGCAATTCTTTTAATACTTTACTTCTTAAGCTTTTCGGGATAGCTATTCTCTCTTTTCTAAACACGATACCATCCTGCAACGCAAACTCGCCATCATTATAACCCAGCGGAACTAAACTTTTGCCTTTTATCAAGGTTTGACGAATTTTTAATAATAACGCATCTTTATTTATTTCATCTCTAATACTTTTTGCAGTTACCGGTAATGTTTCTACGTTTTCCATTTGCAATACATCAATTACGTCGAATTTTCCTACGCTTTTCTCTTGTATGGGCAATCGTGAGAACCCATCTGCATTACAATGATCTATGGATTTACGATACTTTATATCAAAATTAAAAGCCTGCAAAAACACGGCATAGTGCTGCATGCGCAGTGCACTGTATGCCGGAAGGCCTTTTTGCGGGTTTAAAATTTGTGCCAACGGCTTATTATCCGTTAAAAGCGTAAAATGATTTCCATACAAAAATTGATGGAATTTTTTAATCCCGAAAACAATTGCAAAAGCCTCCTTATCAATCTGCGCGTATTTCTTTTGCGTTTCATTTAATGTGTTTGACGCGTATTGAATTACGCGTTCTGTACCATCGGGGTACATGTGTGAAAGGACTGCACCTATTCCGTACGGACTGGCATCCACAGCGAGTATCAATGGCAACTTTGGGTTAAAAGGCACTAAAATTTTTTTACTTCCGAATTCTACTTTAATTTTTCTGAAAGCCGTCTCACATTCTTTCGACCAATTAAATTTTACATTTTCTTTAGCAGGTTATTTAACGGGTACATTTTATCACTTAAATGTTCGATGAAGCGTCCGTAGTAATTTACTAATCCAATAAAAGCGCGAAGTTGCGTCGTATTAGTTGGCCTTGGCATCTTTTGGACTGCTTCAATTTTTTTAGGTTCTTTTGAAATTCCGTTTTTGCTAATTATATATCCGCAATAGGATATTTTATCTTTAAGAAAAGCGCATTTCTCTACATTAATGCGAATATTATATTCTGATAATCTTTTCAAAACAAGTTCTAATCTCTCGCAGTGTTGTTTTATGTCTTTACCGGCAATTCTAATATCATCTAAAAATATAGCCACCCCGGGTATTCCGCACAGTATATTTTCCATTGTCCTTTGCCATATCGCGGGTGCAGATGCCACTCCGTACATTAATCGGTTGCATTTATATAGACCTTTATGTGTACTTAATGTTAAAATCTCTCTATCAGATTCCGCGACCGGTAACTGCAAATATGCTTGTTTTAAATCTATTTTTGAAAAAATCGTGCCTCCCGACATAGATGCGAACAATTCTTCCATTGTGGGCAAGGGGTGCTCATCTATAATTAAAGACGGATTGACTGTTATACTGTAGTCACCGCAAATTCTAATTCCGCCGTTTTTTTTTAAAACCGGTACGATTGGCGTTGCCCAATTCGAAGACTCGACTTTTTCCAAGATGCCTGCTTTTACCATATTTTCTAATTCTTTTCGACTTTTTCTAAAATTTTAAAGGGTACCGCACGATTTTTTATAAATACAGGCTTTACATTTGGTTTTAATTTTAGATGAGCTTGAAATTTATTAATATTTGCAAATTCGTCACTTAGTACGTTTCTATATTTTTCTAATAAATTAGCCAACCGTTCTTGCCCGGACGCGTCGAGAGTATGCACGTCTTCTATTTCTAAGAGACTATCTTTAATTTTCTTTAACATTTTCAACTGATTAATCCACTCCCGGCCCAACAATGGATCTCGATCGTATTTAACCACGTACATATTTAATATTTTATTTTCATTTATATCTTTGACTTTTACTTTAATAAATCCGAGAGGCACGAAATTTTTCTTACAATAAGAGCGCAGTTTCAAACGCGTATTATATAATTTTAAATTTGGAAACGTTTCTCTACGCCATATATCGCTCACCAATGTGACCGCTGAGCCGCAATCTACGTCGAATGTCACTCTCTTGCTTTCTATTTGAAGCGGAACTGTGTACTTTTCCCTGTGCTCGAGATGCTCTCTGTCATCCACACGGAACACCTCTTCTAACAGGTGGGCCTGCCCTTTCTTCTTACAAACTTTTTGGAGGTGCCCAAAACCTCCGCATTCTCTACATTTAGTGTTCCGAGGAAGGGTACAGCTTGGCGCCAAATGAGCCTGACCACACCTATAACAAACAATATCATTAACTTTCGAGTTCGAACGCTTATTATTTGTATACTTATGATGTTTGCCAAGATTGGAATGCTTCGAAGTCGCTGCGTCCTTCCTCGACCCTTGTTGTTGATTTCCTCTGTTTCCAGTACGATCATCACGGCCCTTTGTCTTCTTCTGTTTTGCTCCAGCTCCAATGTAGTCAACGGTCGTTTCCGATAGATGATTTTCTTCTTTTAGTTTATTAACGCCCTTCTCCGCCATTTCCATTCCGCATGCGATTTTTAATGCGGAGTCCTTCGTGAGATTCGCCGTCTCCAACAACCTCGATTGAATCCGATGATTCCTTAAGCCGAATACGAATTGATTCCGTAGTTCCATTGGTAGATATTCTCCAAATTTGCAGTGAAGCGATAATTTCTGGAGAGCCGCCATGTATTCCTGGACAGTCTCCTCTGTACGTTGCATACGCTTCCGATAAATATATATCTCGGCTATCTCTAGTGGCTCGGGCGCGTAAAATTCTTTTAATTTTCCAATTAACGTCTCATACGTTTGAGTATATGGATCGATAGGATCCAGTCGGTCGCACAAAATCCCGAACGGTTCTACGCCTACGAAATGTAGCAAGTAAGCAACACGTTCTGCGCCTTCCGAGATTTGAAACACTCGAAAGGCACCTTCAAGTCGCTGCAGCCAACGAATTAACGGCTGCCGCTGCGGGTCGAAAACATCGACTTGCAAAGGGTTTGCAATTGCTACCTTTGCCGGTGGATTTTGTCCCGATACCGGGCTTTGCGTACCTGAGCCTGAACTCGTCGTCGGCATCTTCTCTTAATTTCCTCCTTCTCGGCAAATCACTTCCTCTGTTGCGTAGTTTCTCGAACACCGTCGCCCATTCGGCTCTGGCAAAACTCTCGCCACGAATTCCACGTGGCTGATTTTCACTACGCCTACTAGGATCCCATCCTCGTCGCCAGCTGTTATATTCTTGTATATTCGAATATTATATTTGAGAGAAGGAGAACCGGAGTTAATGATTCGAACACTTTTAACCACAGAACTATTTATTAGTTAGAACACAATCGGAGTAACCGGAGCTTATAAACGGAGCATCCGCTCGCTACGCGCCTGTCCTGGTCTCTGCGACAGCGGGAGACGATGACTCGGCTAAAAGCCGGGCTTTAGACGATATTCGGGGGTAAACTAGAACGATAACGCCGAAAGGTGTCACGATTAGGCTCCTTTACCTCGCGGCGCGCAACTCTCCATATACATCTCAAATACATAACAGTGTATGAAATTAGTTTTGTACACAGAAAGAATTTTCTTTAGAATTTACCCTGAAATCATGGGACAATATGATATTGTAAGAATTTTATTAGATTTCTGATTAAAATATATATTTACCACAATAAGATATATAAAATATGTTCAATTAATTTTACTATATATAATACATAATAAAATTTATTATGTATACATATTAATATTTTTTATTGTGGTAGATATTTTTAATCAGAAAAACCCTTATAAAATTCTTCCAATATCATATTGTCTCATGATTTTCAAGGTAAATTCTAACTAAAAGAAAATCCGTGTATAAAATATAAAAATATCACTTTTATCTTTCCAGTAAAATATATATCTCTGTGCATGTTTTAATCGAAATAAAATTGTTGACATAAACACAACACGAGAAGATTGAACGTTAAAGATTATTTATGTTCAAAAAGAACATGAGATTTATCTCTTCTTAATTTTGTAATCTTCAAAGTCACTTTTTTTCTGAAAGCAAAACCGAAAGTAAACATTACTTCTGCATCATCAATTTAATCATCTTGTCAATTGTCGCCACAATTTCGGACACGCTCTATATACATTGTGAACCTATAAGTATCAACCAGAAATTTGATCGAATAATATTAATTTTTGGAACTATTTAAAATACATAATAAAAAAAAAAAAAATAAAAAAGAGATAAAGATAAAAATCACCATAGAGTTTAATCAGCACTTTTTCAATTTAGCGCGACTTTAAAATGAAATCGTCAACTTTTCACAAATTATCAGAGAGAGTGCGACGATGATCAAAAGCAATTATTGAAATTCAATTAGATCACGGAGAAAGAATTTTTCACAAGGTACATATCCTGTCTGCGAGAGATGAGAGGATCGCGACGGCGCGCCAAATGTCACTGCGAGGTAGACGCATTTCGCGTTCGCGCTGCGGTTCGGGAGAAGGCAAAGAGAAAGAAAAATCTATCCGCATATCGTTGCCGGCGTGAAAAACAAATGCAACTTAATCCCACTGCGATGCACGTCACTCTCGTCGCGTATGCGGTTTTACGCCCGAGCTTATTTTAAATGCACATGTACGTCGCTCTTTCTCTATCTTTTTGTCCCTCCGTGCGGGTCACCTTTCCCATGAAGAAACCGTTTGTACGTACCCGGCTCGGAATGAGCAACAGATCATTGCGACAGCTAGGGAAAAGCTTATAAATATT